CTCTCGCATTTACGTAAAAGTCTACCGGAAGCCAGGGGCAGGGAAAAAAAATGCGAGACGACTTGGCTACAAAATTATTTCTCTATTCTGTGATTATTTGACATGTGGTCATGTGGAGCGGTCATGTTTTTAATATAAAAACATGGTTTCAGTTGCAATTCACTAATTTTGTGCTGTTTTGCAATGCTATAAATAATGGCATAATGGTAATGGCCCGCCCGCCCGCATCAACTTTAGGTGAAGCCCCGGATGAGAAACTAACATGCAACAAATAGTGGCCTTATACACGAGGCCTGACGAGGCTAAAGTATGCCCGTTCGCAGGTTAGATGCGGGCACGATGTAAACAATTGATGTAAACGAATCGCTGATTGGCTTAAATTGGCATAAATTGGCTGAATTATATAAGCCCGTCGCTGAATGGCTAGGGATACGGTACGGTCACGGCACGTTTGCGATAGCATATATATCTGCTTCGCAGATACAAAAATGTAGCTTCCGGCAGCTACTGTTAGCTACGTCACAAACGTAAACAAACGGTCGGATATTTTTGCGACTTGTGGTATGGCTGGACGGCGAAAATGGCTGTACTAAGTTCAAAAGTTCATCTAAAAGTTCAAAATTCCGTCTACTTCAAGCTTACTGGTAATTTACAACAAAATTAATTTGCAACAGTTTTGCATTCGCAAACCGCATCATTTGGACAAATGAATTGCAAAACTATGAACAATATGTTCGAAAGATTTGATATTACCGTATTGACTTTTCAAGTTTTCAGAAACATTGCACTATCCTTGGATCCCTAGTTTATTTCTAAACTGATTAAATGATGCTCCCATTATGCTTTGCACGCTTAGAGTTTATGGTTTGGAGTTTAAGGTTTATATTCAGGGTGTATAAGAAAAAGTAATCGAACTTCAGCACGCTATTGTGTGTGAATTACTCGGCATATGAACAAATTTTGTTTCATATTCGGAAAGATCAGGTTTTTAGCTGTTCAATGATATGTTCTTCGCGCCAAATGGATAAAAAGTGAGCAAATACGAATCCGATAAAAAGTGTTAGTCAGAATCGCATATTTTTGTACCTAAGTTGATGAATTTCACTTAAAAAAAAGAGGTGTAACTGAACACTTGCCCGGGGCAAGTGAATATCATACGGGCAGGTAAATGTTTTATCTTGCTTGCCCGACTGGGCAAGTCGCCTTGCCACAAAAAGCTAGGCATCTTTAAGTTTATGTTTTCATTGTCGGATAAATTTTTTATAGTGCATGTACTTGATTCATACTTGATTCAAATTTTGGTTTTTGTGGGCCAAACTTCTAGATCTGAGGCAGTATAACATATAGCCATATAGAGCGAGTTGACATGTTGTCCCCTAAATTTAACCTCCTATACCTAGGTACCCCAGTGGCCATTGTCTGATGACAAGTGAATTTTATTCAGGGTAACTAATTTTCATGTCCAACTTGGCAAGTGGTCAAAAAAGTAAAGTTACACCACTGTAATATTATTAAGTAGGAATAAATCTTAGCTAAGCTATAACAAGTTCGTGATTAATTGTTTTCTTTTTTGTTATGCACTGCTTTAATTAGGCACAGAGGTGAAAATATGCGATTCTGACTAACAGTTTTTATCGGACTCGTACTTGCCTATTTGTTCTCCATTTGGCATGCAAAACATGTCATTCAATAGCTAAAAGCCTGATCATTCCGAATATGAAAATAATTTGTTCATACGCCGAGTAATTCACGTACAATAGCGCGCTGAAGTTCAATTACTTTTTTTATACACCCTGTACATGTATATACATTTATTATATAGTAGAGAGTGAGATACTGAAAAAGACACAGTGAGATATTTTCCATATCTTCACTAGTGAAGATATCGATCACGTGACTTTTAGTATTTATACAATTTTTGGCTTGGGACTATATAATAAACAGAACATTACACGGTGGCTTGAAGATATGACTTGATATGACTTTTATCTTCTCGTGTTAAAAACAATATTTTACTCACTCGCTGCGCTCGTTTGTAAAATATTGTTTTCACCACTCGAAGATAAAAGTCCTATCTTCGCGCCGCCATGTAATATCCTCTATATATCGCATGAGCTTGCTCACAACAAGCCATAACACAATGACATCAACTTATCCAGACATCCGCAGAGTATAATGTGGCCAGAGTGCTCAGGGCCACAAGGGAAGTAGCTTTGCATTATCGAGAACATTTTCTTCTTAATTAATGAGCTGCACGGTCAGGACAGATTGAAGACTAGAAATTACAGGGATGGATCCAGTATGGTCTGGTAGGGGGGGGGAGGGGGTGCTCCGCCAAAAAAAATTTCGGAAAGCAACAACCTCCCCCCCCCCATCGACAACTTTTTAGGGAAACATTTTTTCCGGACGAGTACGTTTCAATTGCTTTCCAGTGACTTTACACATCCATCAACTTGCTTAACCACTGCAAAGTCTAGCTACAGTATTTGAATTGAAATTGTTGTTCACAGTTCGCTTATCATCATGTTATTACTCAAATTACTGAATCTCATTTTGTCTCTGATAATTTTTTGCTTTATCATGAAAAATAGCACCCCCCCCTGTGTGCATCCCCCCCCGCACCCCCCCGCACCCCCCCAGTAAATCCATCCCTGAGAAATTATGAACTATATACTGAATGTCATAAACTCGTTTATATACATTTATATACTCGTTTATATTAATTCAGCATCGAACAGTACTTGTTCTGCAAGTGTTATATAATGTTGTGGTTATTGTTCACTCGGTAATATGATATGGAGAGAATGTTCTGGAGTGAGAGATATTTCATCAGCCTGAACCTACAGTAGGCCTTCTATTTTTCAAACCTGGCTTGCGAGGTTGTCTACTTTTATTATTTTTTAATATTCAGCGCTTTTCACATTGGAAGATTGGGGCCTAGGCGATACCAGTAGCGATAGTGATACCATGACGATACTTACCAAATGCTAGCCCCAAATTGACCAAACCTGCCAAATTACTAAATGCTAGCTCGAAATTGACCAAACCTGCCAAATTACCAAATGCTAGCCCGAAATTGACCAAACCTGCCAAATTACCAAATGCTAGCCCGAAATTGACCAAACCTGCCAAATTACCAAATGCTAGCCCGAAATTGACCAAACCTGCCAAATTACTAAATGCTAGCCCGAAATTGACCAAACCTGCCAAATTACCAAATGCTAGCCCGAAATTGACCAAACCTGCCAAATTACAAAATGCTAGCCCGAAATTGACCAAACCTGCCAAATTACCAAATGCTAGCCCGAGATAACCAAATCTGCCAAAGCCAGCCAAGTATGGGCCTATATAAGTCTAGGCTGATATTTCATATTTTCCAGACCGGGCGGTGGGCAGAGTTTTCTGCTTGCGTAATTGATTTACAAGGCGAGCAGCATTAAATCAGATACAGATCGGATGCGAAGGATTTACTGTATATTACTTACAATACGAAATGCAGCTAAGTAATCAAGTTTTCAAACTATTTTTGTGATATGATTGTGAGTATATTATATTAATTAGTTTTAGAGATCCGGGACCGGGCGGTAATTTTTAAATTGAAATGAAAATAGTCACAGACTCAGTACCCTGTCATTAAACTTTAAAGTCGTTCCAGTGTTGCTCACAAGTAACATAGCACTGCGATTGAGTTTGATTTGCAATGCGAATGCATTCTAAATTGGATTCCATGCTTTCCCCGGAATATACGGACGCCAATACACGGATTTTTCGAAGATCACTGATGAAGGAATGATTTATCATCATATAGGGGCTGTCGCAAGACGATCTTGGTGACTTAATTGAAGATATGAAACTTTACCTTGAGATTGATGAAGGAAAGAATCATCAATTTTGGCAGGTAGGGAAAGCAGAACTTCATCACTTGGTTAGATCAAGTTGCTGTAAGCAACTTTTGTTACCAGACAACCTGAAACCATTAAAAACGTATCAATGTTTTGAGCGTAAACCCCTCGTCAAGAGGTTGCATGGCAATCCAGTAACCCCTCCTTAAAATCTCTGAGGGTCAAAGACCCATTGGTGCTGACAACAACAATGACACGCTGATTCCATTGCGTTTAAGTCCACCTTAGACAATCTGCTATACTACCACCACACCTGGTGTTTGTCGATATTAATGACATTTTTAGAACTTTAGCGGGTATGTTATCCATTCCAGTTGCCTTTGAAACTTTTAAACTCAAACGTATGGCAACATTATTCGTCATCGTATATAATTGCACCATCACTTACTGCCATTTTAGCCTGTCTCTCAAATCTGGCGTAAAAATCGATGAATGGAAGTTGGCCAGGGTAATCCCAATTTATAAATCCGAAAATCGAAGTAAATGTGAAAATTGTCGTCCAATATCAATCTTGCCGATAATAAGTAAAGTGTTTGAGGGAGAGGTTTTTAATCAAAGATACAGATACCTAAATGAAAACTCACGCATAGATTGGCCTTATCAGCTTTTGCAACACTGAAGCACATGAACAACCAGGGTTATTTTAACGTGCAGTTCTACACAAAATGTACAGTTCTAAACCCATTTGTGCAGTTCTTAAAACTCAAATGTACAGTCACCAAATTAACAAAATATAACCTCAAAACAGTCTTCTCATCTACTTGTTTTCCTTGTGGATGCTCCAGATGCCAGAAATGCTGTCATTGAGAATCAAAAATCTAAATGTTTTCTGGGAGAGGACCACCAGACCCTCATATTTCCCTCACAAATCACATATGTGCTGGGGTAATGGAACAGGAGGTAAAATTGGGAAAGAGCGAAGCTATCCAAAAGAAATTAGAGTGGGAGAACCTAATATTCTTTGCTGCCTAAGGTTATTATATCTTGAGTATTCATGATTCCCAGTTACATGTTTTGAAACAGTTTTTGTGGGTGGTTGGGTGAAACAAATCTTTGCCAGAACTTACGAGCCTCTAAATTCAAAATTGGGGGGGAGGGGGACACCCCTACCTGTAGCTTCTCCACCCGGAATCTGCCAGTCGTTAATTTTTTCTCTTTGGTCCTCCCCGTGAGCCTCTACGCGCCCACTTCAGGCCTCAGCCCGCGCGCCCGATCTTGTTTTCAGCCGCCTGAGAATTGCCTGAATTCTGTTCAATATAAAAAAAGAAACACTAATAAAGAGGAATTATAAAATAATACCAGATCTACAAGTATATTTAAAAGCGACTGGGGACGAGTCTGACCCGGAATCGAGTTTGTCTGGCCCCACCCAACCACACCTTTATTCTGCCACCTATTACTAATTGAGAGTCTATCATAATTTGCAACGTTAACTATAAATTTACAACGTTATATATACTGTAGATAAAAATCCTTTGACCCCCAGTCAAACTTCTTTCACCCCCCAGTCAAACACGTGATGCTTCGAAACATCCCGATATGTGCAGTTCTAAACTTTTCTTAAAATAAACCCTGTGAACAACAAGCCAGGGTCATGACAAATATCGAAGGACAATCAGCACACTCATCATTGTAACATAAAGCCTAGTTCTCATTTATCGCAAACTGTCATCGACGATCGACGACGCTTATCGCCGATACTCGGCGAGCGCGATTGCACGAAAGTTCTCATACATCGGTGATCGTCGCAGATGACAGCCGATGTGTTTCGAAATTTCCCACAAAGGCACAAAATGGCCCCATTCAACGTAAAGGTCATGATTTCTGTCAAACTTCAGTTGATTATTTCCTTGCTTGTTGAGGAAAAAACAACTTTTACTCATTTCTCATAGATTTTTCAAGCAGGTGGCAGTCGGCGATGGTCGCAAGAAACAAACTTTTTTGTTTCCTGCGATGTCATCGCCGATGGTCGGCGACGATTACGGACAATCGGCGATATAATTTTTGATGTATTCTCATAAATGGCAAGCGATCGCCGACGTAGCTGTCGTGTTTTTGAAACACATGAAATGATTTCACATAACAAGAAAGGTTTTTAGTATATTTCCCAGTTTCTGTCAATCTAAAATAGTTTTCTTTTCTTCAGGACATGTTGACTGTCACAAGAAATGAAGAAAAAAAGCTTAAAAAACAAAACCCTCAAAAAGGTGGATAATATTAAATTTCGCATATTCATGTTTAAAGAGGTGTTCGTTTTTGGCAATTGCTAGATAGTATACTTCAAAAATAAGGTTTCCGTTTTTATATCAATTTTTAAAATAAGTTATGGTTGGTTAGGTTAGGTTAGGTTAGGTTAGGGTTTAGGTTAGGGTTAGAATAGAGTTAGGGCGAGGGTTAGTATTAGGGTTAGGGTTTAGTTTTGTGTTAGGATAGTTTTCTCTACGTTATAAAGACGGAAACATTATTTTGAAGTACACTATCTAGCGATCACCGTTTGTTTTTCACTTTATTTTACCGTGGACTTTCTTGTAGGTGAATTTCATGAGAGAAGAGAGACTATTAATTCTTCTGTAAATACGGACATCGAAAAGATCTTCCGTGGAAAGACGTCTGGGCAGCTCTCCGCATTAAGAAGTCAAATTAATCAGAAAATCTCTGGTGGAGGAACAGTTGATATTGGTGAGTTGAAAATTAACTATACCCTTATTGACAACACTGGATAGCTCTATCAATAGACCTTTCCCCTTTTAAGTGAAATTTTGATCTAGACTAGCCTGGACAAAATTTCATCACAGCTTGAAAGAAGATTACAAAATTAGTAATATTCCGAATATTTTGTTGCGAAATGTTGTAAAATGAGGATAATATAGCCTTGCGAAGTTTGCCGTTTTTCAGTCATTTTGCATTACAATCTAACATTTTGCATCAGTTTGATCATCTGATTATCAATTTCCCGTTTGTAATACCAAATGACTGAAAAACGGCGAACTTCGCAAGGCTATATTATCCACATTTTACAACATTTTGCAACGAAACTTCGGAATATTACTAATTTTGTGATGCTCTTTCAAGCTGCGATGAAATTTTTGTCCAGACTTGTCTAGATCAAAATTTCACTTAAAAGGGGAAAGGTCTATTCCAAACTGTTCTCCTTTAAGGTCCAGTAAACGTCTTCCCTTGTTCTACCAGTGTTACTGCAGCCGGGAGAACACCTTAACTTTACTAATTGTATTCATATTGGATAGCTCTATTTGCTCTAAACTGTTAATATCCGTAGATGTCCAGTAAGGATTATTCCTCACTGATGCTATGTTACTACAAGAGAAAATCAGAGTTCCCGGTAACAAATTGGCATGCAGGCGTGGAAAAAGTATCGGACACCATGGGACCATTGGTCCTAGAAATAATAATAATAATAATAATAATTTTTGAGTTCTCAGAAAATATTACCCAGAAAATATTACCCTGGTGTAAAAATACTAAAACAGTTATTCGCCTCATGCTCGGTGATTATCGGTGAATATTCCCCGATAATCACCTCGCCCTTGGCGAATAATTGTTAAATATTACATGTTTATATCTTGCTTGGTTTTCAAAATATTTCGGATGTGCATGTTACGGCAAGATTGGGATCACGCTATTTTTTTATCCTGGGACTAAGCGATCAATATCGGTCCAAAAGTTCGTTTCTGGTTGCTATCTGAAATTTAGACATGATTAAAAACATTTCAAACAATTTTGGATTGTCACTCGGTCATTTTAGAATAGTTTTATATGATTAACCCAACTCCTGACGTCATCAAAACCATATGAGATCAAGAATCAACCTCGTACCCAGGCTCTTTCCACTACGCGCCAGCGAGGCTAGGTTGGTCAAGAATAAGTCCAAGATGGCGGACAGCTCATTAATTTCGATCAAAATATTTCGAGAACTATACAGGGTGTATCAAAATAAACGCAATTCATCTTTTGTGCTTAATAACTTTCGAAATACTATTTCTAGTTAAACGCTTTTAGGCTTACTTCAAAGCCTGTTCTTT